CATCTTTTCGTATATCGATTGATAAATAGCCACCCGTTGCTTTTTTCCCCAGTCCATGTTTTAATGCATTTTCAATAAACGGCTGAATGATCATATTAGGCACCAGCAGTCCGGAGGTAATGATAGCAGGAGAGATATTGATGCTGTAATCAAAAGGATAGTTCACCTGTAACCGTTCCAACTCGATATAGTGTTTTAAGTACGTGATCTCTTCCTGCAGCGTGATCAGTAGCTTGGACGCGTTTTCCAGTGTTTGCCTCACCAGCCCGGCAAATTGAGAAAGATAAAAATTGGCACCGGCAGCATCCTTTTTCAGAATGTAATGCTGCACAGAATTCAGGCAGTTAAAAATGAAATGGGGATTCATTTGCGCCCGGAGCGCCATTTGCTCCAGTTCAATCACCCGTCTGCCCATTTCCCTTTTCTCCGCTTCCGTCCTCCTTATTTTCCTGATCCGCAGGTACACGATTAAAAAAATAAAAGCGCACGCCAGCAATGCCAGCAATAGCCTTACCCACCAGTACTCAAGCACGCTTTGCTTTACGTCAAAAGCCTTTTCAATAATAGTGCTCCGGCCTCCCGAAGGGCTGAATGCCTGTATTTGCAGCCGGTATTTTCCTGAAGGCAATGATAGGAAGCTTAGTGTTTGTTCCGCCGTTTTCTGCCATTGATTGCTAAGCCCCTGTAACCGGTATTGATACGTAACCTTGTTGCTGGAAAACGAGATTGCGGAAAAATCAAAGCTGATACGATTATCCTTATGCGGGAGAATGAGTGGTTGGTCCAGGTCAATATTTGTATCTGCAATTGAAATCCGGGTGAAAGCCAGGTTGACAGCGGTATCAGTGGTTGCAACACGGTCGCTGAAGATATTGAGACCGGCCGAAGTACCGGCATAGACCATGCCATCATTTACAAAAATCGTATTAATGATATCCGAGCTTAGTCCGTTGTTCTGATTATACAATGCAGCCACCTTGTATGAAGTATCAGCAAGACCAATCCTGCAAATCCCCTTGTCGGTACCCACCCAGATATTATTGTCTTTATAAAAAATGCACCGGCTAAGATTGCTGCTGAGCATGCTGTTCCGGGTATTGATCGTTGCAACGATCTTGTTGCCCGTTAGCGCATAGATCCCATTGTCATAAGTGCTTACCCAAAGAACACCCTCTTTACCCGGGGTCATAAAACTGATCCGGTTACTGAGCGGTGTGGATAACAACTGCCCAAGGCTATTATACACCTTCAGCCCATGCAGTGTGCCTACATAATAGCAGCCATTCAATTTTATAGCGCAGGTAGCCCTGCCCTCATGAATTCTTTGTATCACGGAGGGCATGCCCAATGTCGTTATAAATACACCATTTGAAGCTGCGAATAACAGGGTATCTCCAGACAGGAACAACGTTTTTACGCCCTGGCTGATGCCGAGATAATTCAGATGCAGAAAATCGGAGCCATTGTAATTAATGCACCTGCCTGCTGCATTTTCCCTTAACC